TAAGCCTTCTGCAATTAAGATATATGAGAATACATGAGATACTAAAGGGTATGGCAAAGATAAAGAATATTTCATCTTAAAAATTAATTTGGGTGAGGCATCTTTAACATACTTTTAAAAATTATTTTTGAGCTATGTATTGAACGATATATTTGACATATTCAAAAATAGAGAACAAAAAAAAATAGAGAAAACCCCAAAATTATAAATAAAACCAATGAATTGTATCAAATTGACAGTTTAAACAGAAAAGTATTTCAAGTGACTTCTGAATACCGTAAGTACTCTGATTACACACTCTTCATATCATATACTCTAAGGACAAAAATAAATGCAAAGAACTCTTAAACTTTACTGGGAAGTTTACGGATAGTAGGATATTGTTATGGTGATTCTGAAATGATTCTATGTATATAGTAGGATAATTAAGTATGTTAATTTTATCAGGCACTAAGATTTTCATTTAAGAGACAAATTTAAAATCAAAGAAGTTAATGAGGGACGCCTGGGTGGCTCAGAGGTTGAGCACCTGCCTTCCACCCAGGGCGTGATCCTGGAGTCAGGTCCACATGGGGCTCCCTGCAGGGCGCCTGCTTCTCCCTCTGCCTGTGTCTCTCTCTGCCTTTCTCTCTCTCTCATAAATAAAATATTTTTTAAAAAAGTTAATGAAAAGTCTGCTATGTTAAATCTGAATTCGATATATCACTATGAACTTATCATTCAACAAAAAAGCAAAAGCCCATTTTTTAGTTCTCTCCTCTGAAAGGGCCTTGAAGCAATGACACTCCAGCAGCAAATGACTATGTCAACATCCTGATCTTGGTTTTTATATACCATTTCTTATTAAAAACAAAAAAAAAACAAAAAAAAAACAAGACTCCTTAGATAAACAGTCCATTCCAGATCTAGAGCAAAGAAAGTAACATGGTAAGCCTAGGGTATGTTGTGCCAGAAAGTACTCCAAGAATGCTCCAATAGCAAGCAGAAGTATTTAACAACAACAACAACAACAAGACACAGGAGCCAGGTTGAAAGGGTTCCTACTATTCAAATCTGGGACAATCTGGTCAAAAAAGAAAATTACTGTAATGGTCATTTTAAAAAAATGAATAAATACATTAAAACCCATGAGACTATAGTGTATCCTGCAAAAAAACAAAAAAACAAGAAAAAATCTCATTTGCCACCATTGAAGGTAACTATTTCTCCAATCCTTTCTCTGAATATTGATAATCAAAGGGAAGAAATTAAGCATTTACTCTGCATTGTTTAGGAGGAACTTTAGTTTACCCCTAGTTAATGAAGGAAATCTTTTTTACAGAAAATCTCCAGTAAAACTGGCTTAATCAAGAGTCACCAAGGAGTGCTAAAATCACTAAACAGAAAGTAGCCAGAAACAAGATATTTGCTTGGTGTCAAAGTATTATCCCAAGATCACATACAAATGAAAGGGTGAAACACCCTTATAGCAGATTTGGTAGTCACCGCTTCAGTGGTCATTTGGCATTACCAACAGTGTAGCAATCTGACATTATATACCTGTTCATGAAGCAATGAGAAGTACACAGTATCACCTATTCAATATTCTTGCCAAAGAAAGTTTTACTACCTCAAGCTCATCAAGTTTTTCCTTAGATCTAACTTCCAGTAACAGAAAAGTCAAGGAGCTAGGGGAATAAATTAAATACCACTATGAGGAAGTAGACAAGTCTAGAATGTGGGAGCATTCTAAAAGACAAGTGGTTTGGTCAAGTAAGTGTCAGAAAAAAAAAAGGTGATGGGTATTATTTTTAAAAGGGGACTAAAGGCATAATGGTCAAATGCAATAATCTCAAGTGAATACAGAAAGGGTAAATTTTCTCAAGGAGATTTTAGAATAAAGAGGAAATTTGCATATGAATTTAAAAAGGTGTAGATAATGACGTTGAGGAGAAGTATGTCCTTTATTTTTAGGAAATGCATGCTGAAATTAGTCGAGGGTCCCCATGTTTGCAACTTACTTTCAAATGGTTAAAGAGAGACACTAAAAGGGAGGAGCGACGGGAAACAACCTTACTCCATCTACATAGTGAAATATTCATTATTTCTCAATTTCATGAGACAGATCTTTCGTAATAAAAGTGTCCCTGTGCTGAGCGGCAAAGCAGAAACATTACCCACCTTGGAATTCTATCTGGGTACAGATTTCACTTCTAGCTGTGTGATCTGTTCACCTAGACAAAATTCAAGGAATAACGTCTAAGTAATCAGGTTGCTCTGAGAATTAAATAAGACCACATATGCGAGATGCCTATGTTGCACAAAGTAAGTAAATCTGGTTTCCGCAACCGATGAGTGCTATCGTCCTAAAAAAAACACAAAAGGCTACGGGAAAAAACCATTCCTTTGGTGATTTTCACATTGCGTGATAAGGAAACTCCACTAGGCACAATGAAATATTATTAATGCACTGGCAATGCGAAGCAATGAGGGGAGTGAAGATTTATATGGTGCTTCTTTTTATGATTCTTATTTTCTTAAACCCAATAATTTTTAACTCCAAGCCCAGGCCAATGGGAATCAGAAATTTTTTTTACCTGGCCAGACTATCTGCCCTCCTACCACACCGATTAGTGCGTTTAGGGTATTACCAGTCTATGTCCCAACACACCAACCTGTAAGAGAACAAGTGGGAAACCATTTCTTCCTGACCTCAACAGATTCAATCTACTTATACGGTGTAAAAGGGGGAAAAAAAAAAAAACAACCACAAACAACTTAAGTTTTTGTCTTCATTCCTCCAAGTTCCAATCGAGTGCACAATGAAGATTCCGGGTGGGAGCCGCACGCAGAGCCCCTCGCATCACCTGTGCTGGACGTGCCAGTTTCACCTGCAGGGAACTCCCCACCCCTTCCCCCCCCCCCCTTGGCTAGGCCGGCTGAGAGCGACTAGATATGCAGAGTGATCCTCAGGTAGGGAAGGAAAAGGGGTGTTTGTTGTTATTCTTTTTTTTCCCCCCCCAAGAGTGCCATCCTTTTCTTTGCAGCGGGGGGGGGGGGGAGGAGAGGGAGGTGGATGTGGGTGTGGGGGGGGCAGGTCTGGGGCTCGCCAGGTGAGAGCAGGTGACTCCGCCGCCCCTGCGCGTTAGGGCGCGGGGCGTGCCGAGGACGGGGGCGCCCCGGCCGAGCGGGGGGACTGCTCCTAGCCGCCCCCCCAGGCTGGTCTCCTCCCTGCAGGAGCGGACGCCGCCGAGGGGGCCCGCGAGCCGGGGCTCTGCGTCCCGCGGCGCGGCCGGGCGGGGGGCGCACCTCCGCTCCCCTCCCCTCCCCTCCCTCCTCCCCTCCCCTCCCCCCCTCCCCCTCCCCGGTACCTGGGGGCGGCGGCGCCGGGGCCCGGAGGCCTGCTGCTCCTCCTCCCCGCCAGGCTGAGGCGGCGGCGGCGGCGGCGGCGGCGGCGGCGGCGGCGGCGGCGGCGGCGGCGGCGGCCCGGGGGGAGGGGGCGGAGCGCGGGCCCGCCGCCTCTCTCCTCCCCGGGAGCCGGGGGCCCCTACCTGGGGCCGCCGCGCCCGGGCCCGTGGGCGGCCTGCGGCCGGGGCATGGCGTGCCCGCGAGGGGCGCGAGCGCGAGGCGGCGGCGGCGCAGCCCCCGGGGCGCCCGGGGGGAGGGCCGGCGGCGGCGGCTCGCGTGCGCCCGGCGGGGCGGGGCGGGGGAGGGAAGGGGAGTGAGGGGAGGGGAGGGGGCGGCCGGGAGGGGGCCGGCGCCGCGGCCGCTGCCGCTTCGCTCGCTCCAGCCTGTTCGGGGGCACTTTGTTTGTGTCCCACAATGCCGTGCGCGGGCGGCCGGGCTGGGACCGCGAGGGGAGTGGGCGGGGCGGGGCGAGCCGGGGGCGGGGCGCCGGCGCGGTGGGGGCGGGGCGGGCGCGGCCAGTGCGCAGGCGCCGCGGAGGCCGCTCCCGCGCGCGCTTTGCCGCTGCCCCTGCCCCTGCCCCTGCCCCTGCCCCGGCCGGAGCGGCGGCCGGCGGGCCCGGCTCTGCCCTCCCGCGGGCGTGTGCGCGCGGCGTTCCGCTCGGCGCCCTCTCCGCCAGCCCCTCCGCGCTTACACTAACGGAGGCATTTCCTTCTTTTTTTTTAATATTTTATTTATTTATTCATCAGAGACGCAGGCAGAGGGAGAAGCAGGCTCCACGCAGGGAGCCCAGTGCGGGGCTCGATCCCAGGACTCCAGGATCACGCCCTGGGCCGAAGGCAGGTGCTCAACCGCTGAGCCACCCAGGCGTCCCTAACGGACGCATTTCTGGGCATGTTCACGCTTCTTGCTTCCCCCCCCCTTTTTTTTTTTCTTTCTTTGAACTGAAAACGAAAGAAACTCCTCGTTTCTCGAGTGGTTTTTTGTAGCGGGGCCGAAACCGGAACACCCAGCCCCGTTTCTCTGGGTGAGGGAGGTGAGCCTGCGCTCTGCCCATTTTTCACACGGGGAAACTGAGGCCCGCGAAGACGCGTGGCCGGACACGTGCGGGACGCCATCGCTGTGCTCGCGGACCACCGGGCCCGCGAACCGCCTCCGGACTGGCATCCTTGCAGGGCTCGGAGAGCGTTGTAGCATCTCCCTGGGCGATCTGGCAGGAAGTGCGGTTCCGAAATGAGTGGAGAAATCAACACCCAGATCTGTCTCATCCCCCCCAACACGGGGGCACCTGGAGCTGTTCCCACCAATAGGCCTATTCTTTGCATAACCTTGAGTCTCGCTTTATTACACCATCACTTTCCAGGGCCCTACCCCGGGGCGGGGGCGTCCCGATGACCCGCAGTACCTGGGGGGTCTTAGAGTTCCTGGTCACCTGCGGAGTCTGATCAGATGCTAAAACCCCCGGGACCTGAGCCTTCCCCCCCTCACTCCTCCCCGCCCAAGGCCGAGAGGGGCGCTCCCCCGCGGAAGCGCGCAGCAGGTGCGTGGAGGCGGACTGGGGTGCGGGCCTGCAGGCCCAGAGAGGCTCGAGCCCTTCTGGAGCTTGGCTTTGAGTACTTTGTTTTCCCACGCCTCCAGCTTTTACACCGAAAGACTTCTCTCTCCAAAGGGCTTTTTGTGCAAGGTGAGTTGACATCCTGCTTCAAGTGGAGTGATTTTTTTTTCCCTCCGAAACACTTGGCAACATTTAACATTAACCCCTTCCCCGATCCCTTTTATAAGCAGCCAAGCATCCTGGCACCCTGATGCTAACAATTGAACTCTACTTTAGAAATCAAGGCAATAAAAACAACGTCTGATTTTACAAGTCCTTCGCAGTTCCAACGAATTCTCAAGTATGTGAAATGTTTAATGCTTACAGCAACTATACCGTATGAGGTTTTACTGCTATTCCCAATATCATTTTTATTATTCCCATTTCAAGGCTGGGGAAGAGTCAGAAAGATGTGAATTAGGCCCAGAAAGTTTTGTGCTGAGGTTTGCAGAAGGGGAAGAAGGTGGTGAACACTTACCTTAGGAGAGGGGATGGTGGCCAGAGAGCAAGGCTTGGGGAGGGGTAGGGACTTGAATCCCTGGTTTGGTTGTGTGATAGACTGTGTGCACCAGGTAAAAACTGGAGAAGAATCAGGTGAGAATAAAGCAGGCAAACAGATCCCATCTACCTCTCCTAGGACATCTGGTGAGACAGTCCATAAAAGACCTTAGCTAAGTCTTTACTCTTTCTTAAGGGACCCAGGTAGCAACTGTACGCACGTGGCTTTCTTTCCTTCTTTCCGGGATTCTCACTTCTCCTTTTCCCTCCCTTTTGTGCTTTTCAAATTTCCATTTAAAAACTCCATCATCCTCTAACCCCACCTTCACCCTTCAGGTCTGGAAGATCAGTTAACCAACAAATGGCTGTTGAGCCCTAGGGCACAGTGCTGGATACTTGAAGAGGGTGTGAGAAAAAAAAAAATACAGAGATTAATTTTGTAGGAGCCGGCTCTGTGTTTTGGCTTTGGGCAGGGTCAGTTTCTGTGGCTACTGCACCCTCCCACCTCTTTCTTCCCGGGCGAGAAGAGACTTGCCTTTGGGTTGGTGGAATAAGTAGGCCTTTCTTTGACAGTAGGTGAAATAATACTGCTGCAGGATTTTATGAAACCAGAATCCTCCGCACAGGTGAAACAAACAAATGGAGCCCTCCTGAGGAACTAGTTATTAACCTGGTGTCAATGATTCTGAGGAATTCAGGTTCCGGCAAACGGCTCATTTTGGCCTTGAGATGTTTTTGGGCACCACATTCTGACACAACTGGCAGTTTCTTGGAGTAGACCCTTGGAACCAAATGGAAATTTAGTTGTTTATATCACAACTTCTTTTAGAGCAAGAGTGCATTCTACTGGACAGGAGGATCTCTAATCTGACTTGAATAATTCCAGTGGAGGAGAGCTCATTACTGCACAAATCATCCTTGCTCTCTTATTAGATCATCCTAACTATATTAAAAATAACTAATCTGACACCCATCCCAAAATTTGCACCTCTTCTCCTATGTCCATTTCACTGCCCACTCACTTGAGCAAGTCATCTCGGCTACGTCACTCTATTATATCTTGATTCTAATCTGTCAACAAATCTTATATTTGTCCATTCCTGTTGCCGCCATCCAAATCTAAAATACAATAGTTCCTGCCTGGAGAATTATAATATTCTCACTGTTCTGGTTTCCCAAATACATTCTTTTCTTCCCTTCACTCTCCACGTGATAGCCAGAGTGGTAGTGCATAGTGATCATATTGCACAACAATTGGCTTCCTATTGTTCTTAGGATAAAGTACCCAACCTTTAGCATGGGTTTTACAACATTATACAATCTGGATTCTTTCAAGATCTTCAGCTTCATCTGTCATCCTACTCTGTCAAGGAACATGCCAGTCACAGAATTTTTTTCCACTTCTCTAAAATGCCACACTTTTTTTCTGCCAGTGCACACACTCTTCCCTCTGTGTAGAAATATTTTGTTCCTTAGCTAATTCCCCTCAATATTCAGGCCTCATTTATATATGAACTTTATTGAGATGTAATTCACATGCCATACAATTCACCTACTTAAAGTGTATGATTCTATGGATTTTAGTATATTCACAGAGTTGTACAATCATCACCACAGTCAATTTTTGAACATTCTCCTTACCCCAAAAAGAAATTCATACTCATTAGCAAGAAACCCCCTTTCCCCCACAATCCAACTCATTCTGGGTAACCACTGGTCTATTTTCTGGCTCTACAGATTTGCCAATTCTAGATATTCCATATAAATGAAACTCAGATCTCCTCTTGACTACCACTCATCCAAGGCCACCTCTCCTGGCTCCCCAGATTACATCAGACCCCATGGATATACTACCAGAACACCCTGTTCTCTAACACTCTTCTAATTACTACTATAATTCTAATGACTTTTGCTCAACACTAATCCCAGAGCCTAGTATGTTGTCTGGCACGTAATAGATATTTGATAAATGCTTAATGGACAAATGAATCAATAATGAAATAAATGAATGTGGAGGCCAGTTTTACCAGCTAGTAGAACAGCAGCTTCCCAAGACCTATAATGTCAGGGGAAAAGCTTGTGTTTCAATAAACATCCCCATTCCTCTGCAAGATGCCAGATTACCTGAGATCAGAGTCCATCCTTTTGATTTTTTGAAGATTCTTCAGATCCTTAAGATGCAGCTATTGAAATACAACTCCTCTTCAGAGGAGGAATTGATGTTTTAATTTTTTTTAATTCAAGGAAGTGGGTAGTGATTTAATCTCAGTCCTTGCATCTGATTGGAGTTCCACCTCCCCACCAGATACAATACTATTTTTTTTCCCTATTGTGTGATTCATAGCTAAACTTCTCAAAACTATTATTTACACTCAATTATTCTTCATTTTTGGACCTTCTTCCTCACTTCTCAACACCTCTAATTTGATTTTCCCTTCAGTCCACTTAATATCTCCATAAAGTCACCAATTATTTTGATGTCGCTAATCCAAAGGGCGTTTTTCAGCATCCTTTTACTGGACTTGGGTGCAGTATTTGATTTTGTTGAGCACTCTTTCCATCTTGAAGCACCCTCTTCCTTGTCTTCACTAATATTCTCAGTCTGTGTCCAATGTTGAGAACTATCTTCCTAGGCCAGTGGTTCTCAAAATGTCATACTCAGGCCTAAATACAGCATCAGCATCACTTATCAAATTATTAGAAGTGCAAATTCTTAAATCATGCCCAGACCTATGAATCAGAAGTTCTGGGTTTAGGGCCCAGCGATCCATGTTTAAATGAACTATCCAGGTATTTCAGATCCATTCTCAAGTCTGGGAACCAATGCTCAGGCAATCCCACCCATGCACATAAACTCTGAACTATTGATTCTTAAATGTATACCACTAGCCCAGGTCTTTCTACCCAGTTCTTGATCTGCCTATCTAACTGCTTACTAGTTCTACTTTGCTTGCTTGTTTCAGAAACACCTCAGACTCAACATGTCCAAGATAGATTAATGGCCTTTGGTAAACATAGTTCTTGCTCAGTGTTTTCTAAGGCACTGAAGGGTACTTCAGTTCTAGACCCAAAATTCAGAAGACCAACTTCATCCCTGAAACCTCCATCATATTCATCCTTACCAAATGTCCAATTTATTATTAATTTATGCCAATTTTGCTTTCTAAATCAAAAAACTTTTTTTAAAAAAAGATTTATTTATTCATGAGAGACACACACACAGAGAGAGAGAGAGGCAGAGACACAGGCAGAGGGAGAAGCAGGCTCCATGCAGGGAGCCCGACGTGGGACTCGATCCTGGGTCTCCAGGATCAGGCCCCGGGCCAAAGGCAGCGCTAAACTGCTGAGCCACCCAGGCTGCCCAAAAAACTTTTTTTTTTAATCATAGAGAATTTCACACATATAAAACATAGAAAGATGAGTTCAGAAATATTTTTTTAATTTATTTTTTTAAGAAATATTTTTTAAAAATCAATATATATCTGTCACCCAAGCCATCACATCCAACCAACAGCCAATACTGCCTCATCCATACACCCCTGATCATTTTTCCCTACTCATTTTATTTTGAAGCAAATGACAGATATTGTATGATTTTTCTATGTAAATATTTTAGTCTATATCTTTAAAAGAGATAATCTTAAAAAATACCACAGTACTATTATAATTAAAAAATAGGAATAATTTTATAATACAAAATATTTACATTTCCAATAGACTCATAAATGCCCTGGTATATATCTATATATCTATATCTATATCTATATCTATATCTATATCTATATCATCTATATCTATATCTATCTACAGTTGGCTTCAGAGAGGAACTATACTGATTTTGGTTGGTATATCTTTTAAATCCTCTGTATTTTTGTCTGTTTTCCCAGTAATATTTTATTTTTATTTAAGGAACTAGATTGTCCTGTAGTATTTTCCACAATCTGAATTTTGGCAGTTGCATCCCCATGGTGTACTTTAACATGTTCCCTTGTCCTCTGTATTTTTTGTAAACTGGTAATAAGATCTAGATTTTTGTTTAATTTTTTTTTTTTTGGCAAGGTATCTTCAGAGGTGGTGGCATTTTTTTTCCATTAAGAGGCATACATCATGTACTTATTTCTCTTTTTCTAATGTGATCTCTCTCTCTCTCTCTCTCTCTCTCTTTGGTAACTGCTGTTGAATAATGCCTGGAGCAATTCATTCATTAGGAGTTGTAAATGGTGATATAATTCGATCATTCTTCATGTGTTAGCTGCAATGTTTTTATAGAGGACTTGAAGTCACCCCTCTTCAATTATGTGGTTTAGTTTATATAAGAAAGCAGGGTAAATACTTGCTTTCCCCCGTTTAACTAATTATCTCTTAATCCTGTCTAGTTCTCTCATTTTCAACTATTAATACTCTGATCAAAAGTCCTTAACCTATCCTCTCAGATCTTGAATCTTTGTTATCCTTCTCCTCTTTCAAGGTCCTGAATAATCTGGTCCTTGACTATTTCTCCAACCTCATTTTATGCCCTCTTCCTTCTCCTTTTCTTACTGTTCCAGACCATATTAACCTGTTTCAATTTTCTAAATCTTCAAAGACTTTCCCACTGCAGGGTCTTTGCACATGACCCCTCTACCTGGAAAATTTTCTCTGACTTCCTCTTTCCTCCCACATTACTTTCCTAAGGAAGTTTAAACTGATAATACCCATTACAACTTCTCATGTCACCTTCTACTTATTCTTCATAGCACGTCTCATAGTTTGTATTTATGAGACTGTTCCTTCAATATTTGCCTTCCCCAGTGAACTTTAAGTTCCTTGAAGGCAAGGACCATGTCTCTTTGGGCATCATTTTTCCCGCCTAAGCTTAACTTAATGCTTGGAATACGATATGTGCACAAAAAATAAATGCTGAATTTAATAACATTGAATTGAAGTCAGACTTGGGAAAAATAAAATACTTTGTCTCTATTTGTAAAGACTAAATTTCCCTAACATTTACTGAATGAGAAGTACTAAGTTCTCCTAATATTTGCTACAACCATATGAAGCAGACATTATAATGATCCCTACTTGCCAGATAAGGAAGCAGAAGAGAGGGTAAGCCATTTGCCCAAGTTCATGTAGATAGTAAATACCAGTCAGGATTCAAACCTAAACAATCTGGTTCTAGAACCCAAGATATCAGATTAAAATCCTAATATACTGTAATCTGGAGGAATGTACCACACAAATGTCTATATTGGAGGGGAATCTATCTCAATTTTTTGAACTAAAAAAAAAAAAACAGTGAAGGGCCTTGTTGGTTAGGCTCAGATGAGATGCTTATCTCTAAACCAATCAATCCAAATCAAGGCAACAGGGACTATAAAAATATGTAGCTTTCATACCAGATGTGTGAATGCCGAGGAGCAGTTTCCAGGAGAACGGGGCATGCCAGGCAGACAGTCTCATAGTACAGTACACACATATTTCTCCCCATATATCCAATTTCATAAGTTCCCTCGTCCAACATAATGCAGTTTTATCACACAGAGCAACAGATAGCTTGCCTCATCAAAGAGAAACTATTCAAAAGCACGACCAGCTGCTACATTTGTCTCTGATTCCCAGAATCAACAGAATCAAGTCTGGATATGGTTGTACACAGTTTTGCAATCTATGGGCTAAAAGACAAATTTAATGACCCTCAAGACAGCAGGGGCACAACCTTTGCAAAGGTTCTAAAGTCCACTCCTGCCATGTGAGAAATTATCTTGGGGCAGAGGTAGGGAGAAGTAACGGGAGAGAGCTAAGGTCCATCACTCTGCTTTGGATAAGTAAGGTTCAAGTGGGGTAGGAGAACCATTCTACCTGAATATGGGTCATACAGCGTTCATATTCCTTTTTTCTCCTCCTGCATCAGCTTTCCTCACCTTTGGTGAGGGGATGAGGATCAGAATTGAGTTTGAGCCAGGGGTGCAATAGGCTGAAGCTCCATGGAACCAGCATACGCAATTGTCTATTAGAAGGATTGCAGGGGCAAGTATGCCCAGTCAGTAGCTATATTTCATAAACTAGCCTGATGAGTATCTATGGACCTGATCTAAATTTCTAGAGCAGAGTACAGCTGGGGCCAGAATGATATCATCTATGGATGGCTGATTTAAGACCTCATAGATGGTGAATACTTAGTGCACCTCAAGTATATTTAGTGAATTGTGACTATTTGGTACATCTTGGTTCTTCTTTTACTTTCTAGTTCAGAACATGTATGCTCTACTTATTTTTATATCTCTCTAGCATACCCCACATGTCATTTGCTTCTATACTGAGTTTCATCTAGCCTTCTTACATTTTGTTTTATTTATTTCCATAGCAGAACTGAAAATTTATTTATCTATTTATTTATTTGTTTATTTATTATAAGTAACCTCTACACCCAGCATGGGGCTTGAACTCATGACCCTGCGATCAAGAGTCCCATGCTCTTCCAACTGAGCCAGCCACGTGCCCCGAAAATTCTTACTAATACAGGAAATGCATACTACAAATTCAGAAATCATGCCTAGCTAAAATTGCCTTTGAAGATCTCCTGAATCGCCATAAAGCCAAATGTGTTGTATTTTCGAGCCATATCGGAGGCTGACAGGCTGTCTCTCAGTAAAGTCAAACACAGTGGATTTTTCCTCCCGTGTTGGAACAGATTGCTCATTCTTCTACCGAGCACCAGAGGAAGTTGTTGGTTTCTATTTAGGGACTCTAGGCTTGCACTCAGGCTGCTAGGTGGCCACGCCGTGAGAGCCTCGAAACCGAGACCTGCTGAGGACTGACTCATTTGTGTCTTCCATCTCCTGCTTACTCTGAGCAGTCACTTGCTGAGCGAAATGATCCAATGCTTCTTTCTCTCCAGGTCACTTGAAATCACGTGAATTGCATGTGTGAATGTTGTTCTGGAGTACAACAGATGTCAAGTGATGAAAGACAAACAGGATATCCATAACTCAAAACCCTGCAGAAAGAAGAAAAAAGAAAGCAGCCTAGAGTGGTCACTGGTCCAGATGAGGTAATGGAGAGCATAGGACCAGCAGATTTCACAGGTGTTCATTTGTTAACTCACCTCCTTAATAATGGAGTAAGTTCAGTACATGTGCCCCGGGTTCGGCCTGCTGGGAGGATTTTCCATGTTCATATCCCACAGGCCCATCCATCCCTGAGAAAGAGCTGGGGGCAATTCCTCTGAAGAGGGCTTGACTGTGTTAGTGGTGTTCTCTCTGTTGGTGAATATATTTGGGCTGCGGCTTGTCTTAAGGGTTAAGGAATAATCGACAGCTTCCTAAGTGGGGCTTGAGGGCTTTTTGGGTCAGTACTTCTTCTTTTTAAGATTTTATTTATTTAGTTGAGAGAGAGCTTGAGCAGCAGGTAGGAGCAGAGGGAGAGGGAGAAGCAGACTCCCTGCTGGGCAGGGAGCCCAGTGCAGAGCTCGATCTGAGGACCCTGGGATCCCAGGATCACGATCTGAGCTGAAGGCAGATGCTTAACTGACTGAGCCACCCAGGCAGGCACCCCTGGTCAGTGGTTCTTTTAAGACTTTATTTAGTTAACTGCTTGTTGCTTTCATTTTAGGGGACAGTGGGTTTGTTAATAACCTAATATAGAAGTCATTTATGGTGGGGAGTGTAAGATAATGATTTACCAAACCTGTAACAGATGGTCATCTTTGGATCAATGAAATATTGCCCAGTGATGGGTAATACAAAAATAGAATTCCCACAGTAGCCATCTGGAAGGGGGGAAAAGGTGTTCCCAATTCCCGTGTTTTCCTAACATGCCCTTGTAATCCTACTACGTTTTGCTCCTCAATCCGTTCTTTTATCCTCCTAGATGACTGTTTCCTGACATCTCTTCTGTCAACCCCCCATTACCTTTTTTCCTACTCCCATTCACAATTGATGACCGCTGTAACAGTAATTACATAAATTTAGTGGCTTAAAGCAACAACATGTATTGTCTTTTCATTCTCTGGGCCTTGACACACGTCTTGCTGGGTTAAAATCAAGGTGTTGGCAGGGCTGTCCCTTTCTGGAAGCTCACGGGGAGAATCATCTCCTTGCCTTTCCCACTTTCCAGAGACCACCTGTGTTCCTGGGCTGCTGGTCTTGTTCTTCCATCGGCAAACTCAGCAACTTTGTGACACTTTTTGCATCATCACCTGTTACCAGGTCCAATAATCTGTTTCCATCTTCCACTCTTTTTAGTAACAGTTTCATTGAAGTTCACATACCATACAATTTACCCACTTAAAATGTCCAATTCAATAGTTTCAGTGTATTCATGGAATTGTGCATTTTCCACCACAACCAGTTAGAGAACACTTTTCATCACCTCCAAAAGAAACCCTCTACACTTTCGGGGCCACCTTTTTTTCTCCACCCACAAGGCCTGGCCATCAATAATTGTTTTGTCTCTATGGATTTGCCTGCTCTGGACATTTAGTATAAATGGAATAATATGATATATACTCTATTGTGCCTAACTTCTTTCACTTAGCGTATTTTCACAGTTCATTCATGTTGTGGCATGTGTCAGTATTTATTTCATTCCCCTCTTCCACTTTTAAGGACTCTTCTAGAAATAAAATCCACTTGCTAAGGAGAAGAATTATTGTCAGCAGTGAAAGGAGAGAATAAGAATGGGAAAAATTGATGAATACCCATAAAAAAATAGAGCACACTAACACTTTTATTTTATTTTATTTTGTTGTTCTGTTAGTTACTCGTTTCTGGTTGTTGACAAAATTCCCAAAGGATCGATCTCAACTATAAAAAGAGTTTTAAGATTTGATTTGCCACAGGCAAGATATATATTAGGAGTCCCTCTTTGCTTCAAAATGAAAACCAGTTTGGAAAGCTTCCAGGTTTATCAATAATTGGTTTATTCTCAGAAGCCTTATTACATGCAAGGTGGAGGGGGCAAATGCTCTATGGTTTGATTTTGATGTTGCATAGAGGAGCTGCTCCATGCCTTAAGTTACCCTGAGTTGGAAGGAGTATCCTTACTTCTACAATAGTATACTACATTTAGACATCAATTCTTTTAATTTAAGGCAAATTCTCCTTTCTATTTAGTGGGATCACGGATCAATAGCTGTACATCATGCATTTTTCCTGAATTCTGCAACTAAATAGCCATCTGTCTCTGCCCCTCAATCACTTCAAGTGCAAAATTTCCAAATAAAAATGATCTGTATTGCCCTAGACCTATTTCTTCCCCTGAGTTTCTCATTTCAATGACTTGTACTTCCATTCACCAGATTTTCCAAGGTAGAAACCTGAGTCTTCCCATCATGCGTCCCTAACGGTAGCTGATCTCCTGAGTCCTTATCGGGAACATTTATTAACTGCTAGTCTCCATGGCCATTACCAGCACCTTAGTTCAGACCCCTCTCCAGTTCTCACTTCTGTGACTGGGGGGTTGATCCCCTCTTCTGTCCATTCTCCACAGTGTAGCCAATGAGGGCCATTTAAAGACCCAACTGATCACCTGATTTCTCTTTCTAAAATCATATACAGGGGCACCTGGGTGGCTCAGTGATTGAGCATCTGCCTTCGGCCCAGCGCATGATCCTGGGGTCCTGGGATCAAGTCCTGCATCGGGCTCCCCATGGGAAGCCTGCTTCTCCCTCTGCCTCTGTCTCTGCCTCTCTCTGCGTGTCTCCTGAATAAATAAATAAAATCATATACAGTACTCATTGCCCTTACAATAAAGTATAAGCTCCCATATGATGTAAGATACTCATTTTCTGAACCTTACCCAGCTCTCCTTTTTCCTCTCTTTACCCAACCATCACCAATATTATATATTATCATATTTCCCCAATCTGCTCATATTCTCTTTACTGTCTTTTTACGTATTGTTTCTCTTGACTGAGAAACTCTTTTCCCCTTTCCCCTGGCTAACTCATATATGCTGAGACTCAGCTTAGTCACTAATATCCTTTGGAAAGGTTGTTTCCAGGTATTTCCTGCTGGAGCTAAATACTCCTACTTATGTGCTTCATAAATTCCATGCACATACCAATATCATGGTACTTATCACATAGTTTTGTCTGTTAATTTTACTTTCATGCTTTTCCAGGCAGATTACAAAGTCCTTTATGACAGAGACTATTTTTTGTGTCTCTTTGAAAGCCGAGGACCTATCATACCAGAGAGCTGACAATTGGTTAGTATTCAATAAATTTTGGTTGAATAAAGGGAAAAAAATTAGATGACACTTAATGGGTAGTTTGGGAGGGCTATGAAAACACATTTCATCTTCCATATAGTTAAAAAATATTTTTATTGTGGTAAGATGCATATGACAGAAAAATTACCGTTTTAAACATTTTTAAGTATACAATTCAATAACATTAAGTACATTCTAATTGTTGTGCAACCATTACCACTAACCCTTTCCAGAACTTTCCAGAACTCTTTCATTAGAACTCTTTCATTAGCCCAGACAAGAAACTCTGTATACATCAAATAATAACTCCCCATTCCACCCTGCCCACAGTCCTTGGAAACTTCTATTCTACTTTCTGTTTCTATGAGTTTGCCTATTCTTGGGTAACTCATTAAAGTGGAATCATGTACTATCTGTCCTTTTGCATCTGGCTCATTTCACTTAGCATAGTGTTTTCAAGGTTCATTCATTTTTTGCATCTAAGAAACATTCCATTGTTATGTAGATGTTCATTTTGTTTATTTGTCATCTTTTGATGGACACTGGGAGTGTCTCCGTTTTTAGCTATTGTAAATAATACTGCTCTGAATATTGGTATACAAGTATCTGTTTGAGTCCCTGGTTTAAATTCTTTTGAAGATATACCTAGAAGTGGAATTTCTGAATCATACGGTAGTGTAGTTTATGTTTCCCTTTGTGAGGGACCATCATAACTGGTTGACAAAGTGGCTGCACTTTACATTCCCACCAGCAATGAACCAGGGTTCCCATTTCTCACATCCTCACCAGCAATTATTTTTTGTTTGTTTGTTTCTTTCTTCCCTCCTTCCCTTCCTAACAGTCATCCTTTCGAGTATGAAATAGCATCTCCTTGTGGTTTCAATTTGCATTTCCCAAATGGCTAGTGATGTTCAGCATCTTTACATGTGCTTGAGGGCCCGTTGTGTATCTTCTTTGGGTAAATGCCATTTCAAGTCTTTTGCTTCTTTTAGATTAGTTTGTTCATTCATTTCTTGTTGTTGTTGAGTTGTAGGAGTTCTTTATATATTCTGGATATAAGATATATGATTAGCAAATATTTTCTCTCTTTTGGTGGGTTACCTTTTCACTCTCTTGATAGTGTCCTTTGATTCACAGAAGTTTTTAATTTTAGTGGTCCAGTTTATCTATTTCTTTTATTGCTGTTGTCTGTGTTTAGTGTCTTAGCCAATGAAATCATTGCCAAATCCAATGTCGTGAACTTTTTTCTATATTGCCTTCTAAGTTTTTTTTTGTGTCAGCTCTTATGTTTAAGTCTTTGATCCAGTCTGAGTTAATTTTTCACATATGATGTAGAATAAGGGTCCAACTTCATTCTTTTGCATAGATATCCAGCTTTCTTCACACCATTTGCCGAAAGACTGCTCTTTCTTCATTAATAGTGTTGGCACTCCTTTTGAAAATCATTGGACTACATATGTGAGGTTTTATTTCTGGGGTCTCTATTGTATACGTTTGTATTTATACCAGTGCTACACTGTTTTGATTACTGTGGCTTTATAGTAAGCTTTGGAATCAAGAAGTGTGAGTCTTCCAACTTCATTTTTCTTTTTTAACATTGTTTTGGCTATATGGGATCCCTTGAGATTCTCTGTGAATTTTAGAGTGGATTTTCTATTTCTGCAAAAATGTCATTGGGATTTTGGTAGGAATATCATTGAATCTGTAGATTGCTTTTTGGTAGTATTGATATCTTTTTTTTTTTGGTAGTATTGCTATCTTAATGACATTAAGTCTTCCAGTCCATAAATGTGGGATGTCTTTCCACTAATTCCTGCCTTTGATTTCTTTCAGCAACAT